TTTTCCCAGTACCGATTATTAAATCAACTGTCCTTTGTCCAATGTATGCTCTTGGCTCCTTATACAGAAATCAGTTGACAATAAATTTCTGAATTAATTTTTGGGCTCTGTTCTGTTCCATTTCTTTATGTATCTGTTTTTATGCCACAATTTTACTGAATTTGAACTTAAATTGTGCTTATTTCCTATAAAAACAGACAGAGGACAAACAAGATGGCTCAGGGGTAAAAGCATTGACTAAACAAGCCTGATGACCTGAGTTCAGTCTCCAGAACCCATATAAAGTAAAACAAAAGAAGTCACTCCACAAGGTTGTCCTCTAACCTCTATAGACATGTGCTGTGGTACATGTGCCTATACACACATACATCATCCATCCACAAACACATACACACAAGATAATAATAAAAAACTTAAAAGAACTTTTAAAAACAGAATTAGAGACAGGTGCCTAGGTTAACCCCAAAAGCCAGAGGGAGCTGAGATACTATCCACACAACAATAAAACAAAACTATTTTGTGGAATTACATTTTTCTTTTCATCCAAAGAATTCTTATTTTCATCACTGAACATCTGCTGTATATTCCTTCCAATTATTTAAATGAAAGGCTACAATGTAACACATGTAGGCATCAAAGAGTCATAATTTTAAAAATATTTTATTTATTATTTTTATTACTTTATGTGTATGAGTATATTGCCTGCATGTGTGTAAGTGCACCCATATCATGTAGTGCCCTTAGAGGTCAGAAGAGGGCATTGGATCCCCTGAAACTGGAGTTAGAGATGGTTGTTAGCCACCATGTGGGTGCTGGGAATCAAACCTGGGTCCTCTCCAAGAGCAGCCAGTGCTCTTAACCGCTGAGCCATCTCTCCAGCCCCAACAATTCATAAATTAATTTAATGGTATAGAGAATTAATTCAATGTGTAGAGAATTAGAGATTGAAGAGCACGTGTCCCTGGCTAGGACTCCTATATTTAACCCCACCCACCCATGGCTCAGGAACCATTGTAGAAGAGGGGGCAGAAAGATTGTAAGAGCCAGGGTTGGTGCATGACCATAAGGAAACAGTCTTCCAGGCCTCTGGAAACTTGCTCAGATGAACTTACAGCAATGGAAACAGGATGCACAAGACCCATACAAACTCAATCAGACAAAACCCAGCACCGAGCTGGGGAAATGGGCAGGAGGCCCCAACCTTAGCTGAAGCTGATTACTGCTGGGTGAGGGAGACTAGATCTTCTTTAAAGGAGTGACTGTAGATAGGCTGACTAGACTCCAGTGGATGAACTCACACCGAGGGGCATCTGGGTAAACAAACTTGACTCAATATGCCTTAAAATACATAACAGAACGCATGAAATTCAGTGGGGTGAGTTATGGGGTGGCGTGGATCGGAGAGGGGGTCTAAATATGATTAAGATGTATTGTATGAAATACATAAAAATTCAATAAAAATACACATTGAGAAAAATAAGTAAATAAATAATGCTGCTAGAGATTGAACCCAGAGTTCTACCAAGTGCTCTACCATGGAACTATATCCCTAACCATGTCAGATCCGTATTTTAGAAAGATCATATGGGCTTTGGGAAGAAACTGGATTCAGACAACAGTAGAACCAGACATCAGATGAGCATGGAAACTAGTATGCAGGAATCCACATCAGAGATTCTGAACCAGAGCAAAAACAGCATGTGTAAGGGTAAAATTCAGGAGGCATTATCATTAAAACATAGTGACTAAATGTACTTGATGAGAAAGGGGGTACTCAGGGACATGCATCTCAAGATTTGGGGCTTGAGTAACTCAGATGGAAACACAAGAGAATCAGGTTTTAAGAGGGAAGACAAGATTCTGGTTCCTCTTTGTTGGTTGGAGAGCCAATAAGGTAATCTGATGACATCTATCAGATAGTTTTCTGTAGAGAAAGAGAAGAAGGATATCTAGCCCAGGAGTACAGAGTCAGGAGTGATCAACTTCCAGAGGGAAGATTAAAGCATAATAAAGGAAAATATATTAAAAAATGTTTCAAATAAACTCATATCAACCATGCAAGAGTACTAGCAATTGAACGAAGTTATAAAAAAAAAAATTCACAAGATACTCTGTGGGCAAGGAGTTCATAAGAACTCCCTGTACACCCAGTTGAGTTTTGCTCTGCAGTTTATACTACTCTAAAAAATAAAGTCTATTTTCTTAAAAAAGAAAAGATTAACTTTACTGAGGCATAAAACCTAGACTCTTGCCAGGTCCATAGTGCACGTCTTTAATCCCAGAACTTGGGAAGCAGAGGCAGGTGGATCTATGTGAGTTTGAGGCCAGCTTGGTCTACATAAAGACTTCCAGGGCAGCCAGGGCTACACAGTGAGAAGCTGTCTCAAAAAAAAATAAAATTAAAATAAACACCCTATATTCTTAGATAAATGACACCCACAACTGGTTGTTTGTTTGTTTGTTTGTTTGTTGACACTGGATCTCACTAGGCAGTCCAAGCTGACCTGTAACACACTATGTGGCCCAGGCTAGCTTCCAGAGTGTTGGGACTATAGGTATGAACTACCATAACTAACACAACTGTGGATGGATGTTTAAAATTAAATCTGAGACATGTATAAAAATCTACAAAAAATTAAGTGGCGATGAAAACTATAGCATGAAGCCTGGAGAGATGGCTCATTGATTAAGAGCGCTGGCTGTTCCTACAGAGAACCCAGGTTCATATCCCAGTACCCACATGGCAGCTAACAGCCATCCGTAATTCCAGTTCCAGGGCATCCGAATCCCTCTTCTACCTCCGTGGGCACTGCACAACATAGAGGTACTTAAATACATGCAGGCAATACACTTGTACACATGAAAGAAAAAAGAAAACTACACCACATGAAAAAAAA